AACTGAACTTAAGTTCCGAAACAGAAACCTCAAACCTTACACCGCACCCTAGACCCTACACCCTGAACTCCAAACCCTAAAGTCTAAACCCTCAAGCCCATCTAAAAATTGATTACTTAGGGTTCTGAAACTTCCTTGATTTCTAAATTCCTCAAAATTTTAAGAACCAAAATGAACCCCCCAAACCCTAAGTATTGGTAATGAAGCTTAAAGCCTAAACCCTTAATCCTTAAACCCTAAACCCTAAACATTAAACCTCAAACCCCTAAACCCCTAAACCCCCCCCAAATCCCTAAATCCCTAAACCCACAGCAGAGCCTTGCCTGGCCGCTCATGCTTCGTCCGGGCAAGCAGCGCTTGAAGATCAGCTAGAGGCTCGGGAAGAGAAGCTGCACAGGGTTTGGGGTTTGGGATTTAGGGTTTAGCTTTAGGGGTTTAGGGTTTAGGGTTTAGGGTTTTAGGGTTTTAGGGTTTAGGTTTAGGGGCTTCGGGTTTTTTGGGTTTCAGGGTTTTAGGATTTAGGTTTTAGGGATTTGGGAAGGCGCGGGAAGATAAGCTGCGCGGGGTGATGTGTAGTGGGATTTGAATTGAATGTATGGTCTCCCCAGATTCGACACTAAGTATATGTTAGGAGGACCCCCCACCCTGTAATAGTGGTATACTAGTAATACAATAAAGCCCTAATGTAATCCTTATTCTCCCTTGTAGTCACTATTACTGGGTGGGGGGTCCACCTAAAATATATGTAACCACCGGTGTTCCTAAGAAACCCTCAATACACTCACCAAAGCCGGGTTTGATCGTCTGGTAGGGTTTGGGGCTTAGGGCTAGGCTCGTAGATTCGGGCTTCAATATTAATTCGCTAAGGCTTCTTTCTGGTTTAGGGTTTGGGGTTCCTTGGCTTCGGCACAGAGTTTGGTTGGGGGTTTAAGAAGCAGCCAGGTGTGACCTTTGGAGATTGCGTGGGAGTTTCTAAAAACCGAGCGTACGGAAACCCCAAAAGGAACCAAATGAGATATCCTTCGAATTCCCGCATGTCACTGGAACACCTAATAGCTTGATATCTTAGAAACCCCGAATTTCAGAGAGACTTGTACGGACTGTATGACGTCTTTCAAGTCCCACGAAGGGACTACACAAGGCCAACTTCTCAAGAGTAGGGACCCCCGTTCTCCATGGCCTCAAGCAAAAAGATCTCATTTTATGTGGTGGTTCAATATCTTGTGTTTGCTGTACTACGGAGGGAGGCGCTGCTTCCCAACATAGCCCGGTGGGGTCATCATTCTCCCGATACAAGTCAACAGGATGCACAGTTTTCCTAGCCTGTGTAGTCTATGCGACGGCTCCAGACGTCCAAGTCTGTCCACATCTGGCAACAAGGGGGATTGTTGCATCACCAGCTATCACTGCCTGCAAGCTCAGTATTGTGCGATCAAATCGCTTTCCGAAGCAAGCACCAGTTTGTTCTAAAAGGGAAATGAACAAGAGAAAAACTCTGAAGTGCCGAAGAATGTAACTTCAGGAAACTGCCGCCGAATGCACGTCAAGAAAAGTTGGCATTTCAAATGCAGCGGAGCTTGATTAAAAAAATGGCACCTGCTTGATCTCCAAAGACAACTGAATTGATGCTTGACTGTTTGAGCGCTCATTAGATTGTTTGAGGTGTCTTGCAAATGGGATTGACGCCGCAGTAGCATTGGCATTGAAAATCCTGCGCTGAGATGTGGTGGACGGAATGTTGGTTTCAACAAGTAAACAGGACATGTTGGATTTGAACTGGCACTTTACTCTGTCCGAAGAGTCGTACAATTCCAAATATGTCGCGCTGGATTTTGGACACGAGCATGCTAGAGGCCTATAGGTATGGATGCCAAACGACCTGGTTGGAAGACTTGAAATGTCAGTCAGCCAAACGCTGTGCAGTGCGAGGACAGGAACTCAGACACCAGTCAGCACTGTCTTCATTCCTCCATTGTGTAATGTGGCTCAAGCTATCCTTTCCTGCCGACGTCCCTTCCTCGTCTGTTTCTTCCCTGCTTGCCTGTTTGTGGCTGCCTTCGTTGTTGCCTGATGTTTCGGGGGCACGACAGAAAAGCAGGCGCCGTAGAAGGGACTGCTGGCGGCTTGCGCATCAAGCAAAGCAATTGCTCATCGGAAATTCTGGAAGTTTCAGATCAATATTGTTGCAATATCCACTGCGCTGCTTGGGCAAACAGACAAGCACCGTGTCAAACACTCCCACATGCTCATGAACTTACTGGTCATTAGTAGGGAAGAAGGGAATATTAGTCCCTGTCCAGTCCCTCAAAATCCCTATATAATTCCATAACAATATACTCCCGTATCCCTATTAACCCCGAGTAAGCCACATGCTCATGAAAAAGCCACACGTCGGGGAGACGAGCTCGGCCCACTGATGTCTAACATCATTTCGTTGGGCCATGATCTGCTCTATCTCCACGTCGCGCAGTCTCTGCCTGCCACAGTTTTAGGTTTTAGACTTTAGGGTGTAGGGTTTAGGGTTTCGGGTTTGGAGTTTAGCGTTTAGGATTTTAAGGCTTTGGAATGTCAGGCTTCTAATGGTGGCCATGTCCAACACACTTGTTGCTGCGATGCAAGCGCAAAACTGTCACATGAGCTACAGTCAATATTGTCTACATAGTTACTGGACACCGGTCTTTGTTAGGAAGTACAGATACGAGGGACTATACCATGTCCACTCCTAGTGGTCCAATGGTAATCCTAAGGCCTAATATTGACAGCGGCTCATGTTTGACGGCCTTTCTTTGGCTCCTGCATACCACTCTGGAGAGAACGGAGGCTCTCCATTTGTGAGCTTGTCTGGTACCTGCTGACCAGTCCCCCGCCCAAAGAGCAGCACAAGAAATATATTACTGCTATTGCTACTATTATGACTATTATTACCATTATTACTATTCTTACTATTCTTACCATTATTATTAGTATTACTATTATTACTATTACTACTAGTAGTGTTGTTTCGGCTATTCTTACTATTGCTACTACTATTACTATCATTACCATTATTGCTACTATTACTTTTCTTACTGTTAATACTATTCTTTTGACTCAAGCCAGGCACTCCAGCAGCTTCAAATAAGCTTTCCAGGTCCGGCGGACCCTGAACAGGCCATGCGCACAGCGATGAGATGAAGCTTTTCTGAAATTCTTGGCACAACGGCACAGCAGTGAAATGAAGACCTTCTAGCATTCAGGTTCCTGGCAAAAGCAAGCTTTGAACCATGCATCTGTTTATGTAATGCCTGCATGCATACATACATACATACATACATACATACATACAATAAACTTCTGTACACCACGCAAAGCATCCTCAGTATGTTACAGTGCGACTTGCACATCCCTGTGCAGTTCCTGCAATCTAAGCAGGAACCTACATGCCACACTTCCCAAGACCTGGCACGTCGCCTGGCAAATCGCTCCCCATTCCCAACTGCAAGTGGCGCTTCCCATGATCCTCAAACCTCCATAAACCCTAAACCCCGATCCCAAAAGTAGGAAGTGCAAAGGCAACCCCAGCATGGATAAATGCTCAGGATTCTGGGTATATAGCGTTGATAGGGTTGATAGGGTTTATAGGGTTTGTGGGGTTGAGAAGGTTGTTAGGGTTTAGGGTCCAATGATCCAATCTCTGACCCGAGCTCTTCGTCCCCACGGCAAGATCCGGGCTTGCCAAAAATCATTATCCTTTGTTCAGGGGTAGCCTAAACGTTAGGGATTCTATTATACTTTCAGCAAATAAAAGGCACCATAATTTTGACCACCTTCCAGATAAGGTACTCACAAATTTGATTCTTATTGGTACCCTAAAGCGAAAACCCTTAACCCTAACCATGCCGCCTCTGGATCTTTCGGCTTCTGTCCGTACACCCAACCTTCCTGCGCCATCATACCCACAGTTCAGGGTTGGGGATCCCTAAACCCTAAACCCACAGTTTAGGGTTAAGGCTTTAGTTGCTTCCGGGCTTCAGTCTTCTTTTGGCAAGGCTGTGGGCCGAGAGGCAAGGACAATGAAAACAACTACAGTCAGAAAGTTGATGAACTGTATTATTGCCAAAAATGTATCAGGATTTGATGCATTAGATGTGAAATGGCTCATGGAGAACGCAGGATTCAGCCAATTAAAGCGAAGCGCGTTCAAGCTTTGGATGTTTTGCAAGCTCTGGGCATGCGAATGGCGATAGAAGCGACGACTGTCCTCCACTGGCATGCGGTCCACCATGGCGCTAGTAGTGATATTGGAACAGCGAAAGTGTTCTGAAACAGGAACGGAACAAGTGGATGTATGCAGGGATAATCGGAAGCTCCGTAGAAGAACCATGCCAAAAACGGCACCGCGTCCAATCAGTAGGCTTGGGGCAGTTGAGAGCTTGCCAATAGATCACTCTGACAGCAGAGCGTGTCTAGCATTGACAATTACAAGCATGTTGAGGACGTGAAACATGCTTTGGTTTGGTTCATAGTCAGCTTCGGCATCGCGAGCACGTTGCTGAAGCATGTTCTCGTCGTGCAGAGAAGATCGTACAGCAGCAAGCCCTATATATCCCCGTATAGCAGCAAGCAAGCACGTGACTTCTTAACATCCAGAAGGGCATGTCATGCAGCTGCGCCTTTGGCACATGCAGATCAAGTCAAGTGGGTCGGGAGCCAGGCGAGTGCTGCTTTTTTTACACGTTCTTGCGTTTACAAATGTCAGCATCTGATGCATGATTCCAACAGTTGCCAGTCATAAACACGCATCTAAGAAGATGACAATAACGCTGAAAATGGTCGAAGTACAGACCTATAAATGAGGACAAGTAGATTGGTTTCTGGACATAGACCAGCTCCCACCTAAGTGAAACTACGGCGGTCATGTCACCAGGCGGTACTCAGCCCAAGATGATTTGACTCCTGGGCCATGATGACAGCGTAAATGGAGGCAACAACAGAAATACATACACGTGTTCAACAAATCTTTATTGTGCAAGTACAAATGTCACGCCTAGGCAGCGAGAAAGGTAAGGCAGCTGCGCATTTCCGTTGTGCGGTACTTCCTTCATGCAGCCACGTGTCAGTGAAACAAAGGAAGCATGGCACACCCTAAGTATCAAGCACCACCAGGTGCCGGGCGTAGTCTGGCTCAGGAGGGAGAGCTTGTAGATGCACAAAGTTATCAGCCACACCACACCTAGGCCCCAGTTGGAAACTCATGACTCAGGGGATTGCAGTCACCTCTGGAAAGCAACATCATGAGGCGCTGACGAACGAGCCCTAGTTCGGGAAACTCCGCTCCTCGCCAAGTCATCTTTCGTGGTGAGCTCTACATTACGAGATAAAACTGCAAACGGCAAATGTTGCTTCATGATAATAAAGCATGACAGCCCCTGGTGGGAAGGCCACGGATCCCCTGTTCGCTTAGAAACTGCGACACAAGGACTGCCGGCCTTCCATAGCCCAGCACAGCAGATTCTCGCACTGTTGATTGAAGCCCTTCTTGGAAAAGATTGGCTGTCCGCACCTGCTTTGGCCACGTCAAATAGCAGGGCTTCCAAAAGTACGGTTGGGTTGCCGGTTGTGCTTGCTTGTATCCTGATCACTGGCCTGTTTTTCAGGGGCAGGGTGCTCGAAGAAGCGGTGCTTGGAATTCTTGACGCGGTGCCGTTCTTCCTTGTCATGTTCGGCAAAGGTGGCCTGGCCAGAAACAATGTGCGAACAGAGCGGGAAGCAACACCTTGCTTCAAAACGTAGACATCTCTCGAAATGAGGGTCCCGTCGTATTCTCCTGTGCACCCCACGATAATATTTGCAGAGACTCCAGATATTCACACCGCAGATAACCACTGCTCACTCTTGCCAACTGCAGAGGGCATAGCTGCATAGCGATTGCAACAACCGTCGCATGCTGCAACAAGCCCCGACTCTGTGGACAAGCAGATGCCTGCATACTGCCGTACGGATTCAGAATCTTCTTTCCGACATGTCGAAACCTGAGCAGAAACCGTACACCAATGAAACTCATAATATTGGCAGTACTGTCTTCTGCAAGCCGATTTCGGTCTTTGATATTACCTGCCTCACGACACTGGTCTCGGTATGCGGGTTTACGTAATTCTTTGATGCGTACAGTGTACAGCAAAGGCCATAACATGCTCAGGCTGATGCTCACATTCCCTGCCGACCCCCTCGCCCGTGAGGATGTTGAATGTGCACCTTGAAGCATTGCGGAAAGTTAAGCAAGCCTCCGCCCTAGGGCAGCATAGGGTTCAGGATGAAGAGTCTGGAGCGTTTCTAAGAGAACCCCTCGCAGGGGCCTGGCTGAACCTTACCCATAATCACGGTATCCCTTTTGGCAGCTCATAATTGGAATCTGTCAATCTATGCAATGTCAAGTCATCTTCAAATTTGTAACAGTTCGTTGCCGACAGCCTTGCTCGAAAGGATGGCTAACACCAGCAAGGTATGTGCGAGGCACGTGCTCCCAAGAGGATGCCAGTTGCAATACAGACATTCCTACGGAATTGCAGCTCCATGCTTGATACCTAATACAGCCACGTCTTGTCATTGTGGGGCTTTGTGGGGCCAAGGCCATACCATACTCGAAGCTTACTCTTGTCCCAACATGCCCATTTTTGGCAGCGTCTCTCCGACTCGCCCGTCGGCCGGCACCGCAGCAAGCCAATTTCATGCCAAAGTACTTTTCACGAAGCTGGTGCGCTGCTGAAGCCTGTGCAGCCGCCCGCTCCTGCTGAACATCTGAAAGGGGTGGGACAAACGCCTATGTGTTTGTAAGATTGCAAGAGCACACTCACTCAAGCTCCTGTCGAGCCCAGTCTCGCGCCTGCAGGGTAAGCTCATACAAAGATGTTGCTTGTCACGCAATACGTCTTAACAGGCCGGCTCCACGGCTTCATGCTCTAGTCGCGCAGCATCTTGTTGAATGTCAGCCCTGTCATAACGTTCAGACCAACCAGCCAATGTAACGCAGGAGCTTTTCACTGAGGATGGTGCTGGTGGCGCCGGTGGAAACCCTGCAACATGACTGTCCACGCTCTACACCACCTTATCAAGCACAACATCACGGACGAAGTGACCCAGGCCTTGTGGAAACGAGTCTCGTTTATGTTGGATGTAGCAATGAAATTGGATTCCAGGTCAACACGCTCGACAGGTAGGTGCCTCACCAGTACACGACAAAAGTACCCTGACAAACCACAGAACCTCCAGGTAAGGAATGCTCAAGCCAGAACAGCAACTGCACAGTCATTTCCAAAAAGGGAGAGTAAGCTTCGTACTGGAAATAATACACACGATTACCCACGAGTATTCTACTGTTTGGAAACTGATTTTCGTGTATGGAGCCCAGTGCTAAGGCTGCGGCTGCGGCTTTAAGAAGTCATGCCTCAAATACTCTGGCGTCGCGGCCTTAACATCGTCAACAAGCATGCAGGCGAAGCGCAGCACATGTTACTTATGCTCATGTAAACATGCTTGGCAAATTTAGCAACCTAGCAAATACCGATTCAAAAATTCAGAAAGCACACGCTATGCGTCAGTGGCACTTCTGAAAGTCAATGTGTTCACCGTATGACTCACAGGCCCGGTGAAACTTGAAAGAAGTCCAACAACTCCAAAACCCAAAGCCCCATACCGCCAAACGCCCCAACCTGTCCTCCCCAAGCCCCTAAACCACTAGTAGCAGCCTCACCCTGAGCTGGTGACATCACAAGTCACTGTCTTCTTGGCGCTCTTTTTCACTCGGACATTCTCGAAGCGACCCAGGATGCCACCTGAAAAAAGCAGAAAACAATGCCAAATGCCTGGAACATGGTTTGGGGGGCGGCGTAATGATACGTCTTCACAGCTGAATGACTGGAAACACTGTGAGGCGAAAGCTGCATTCAATGACAGTGCAAAGACTAGGAACAAGGCTGACATTGTGAAGGGCCACAACTGCACAAAACTTTGAGTCTCTACACCATGCAAAGTGAGAGCAGAGGGTTTCTCAAACCAGCCGTACCATTCGGCATTTTGGGGATCCACGGGGGTTATCGGGGACTTGTGAGGTTCTCATCACGGGTTGTTTGGGGGACATGTTGAACAACTTGCAGAACCAGAGGGTCCGAGAACCCAAATAGTGAGGCTTCAAGTCCCAAATACTCTAATCATAACAGATCTTGGCACCTAAGACCCCAACGTTTGGGTCGGTGGACCCTTAGGGAAATAACACCCTACACCCTGAACCCTGACCCCATCAGGCCTCCTTGAAGGACACTCTGAGCATTTTCATGCATCGTTGGTCGGCAAACGCGAACTCTGAACAAATACACAAGATGCTGGGTCAAAATTGAAACCATCTCACCCTCTTCATCTTCATGCATGGAAACATGTTGTTTTCCTATTGTGGAGCCAAAGATCTGCAGTCAAACCGAAAAGTTAATTAGTTGCTGACATTCTGGAATCCGGAGCTGTGACCAGCTTCATACTAGCTGCATGCTGGGTACAAACCAAAATCCAATCTCACCAGCTGACCTTGACAGTGCAATCGTGCTCAATGCTTGACAGCAACCAGTATGTGCGCCTCAGGCACTTGACTGATGTTCATTTTTGTGATTACGATAACAAAAAACAATTTGACTCCAGCTCACGCCAACACAAATTCATCGTTGGGTGAACACAATACCATGACATGCAAATCACTGTGTATGCGCTTTGGTGCATTGGGACAAAGGATGCTATCGGTAATAATAGGATAGTTACAAGGAGACTGCGAAACCTTCTGCTCTGACTCAAGGCGCCTGCGGAACACACGCTCAGTACAATGCATGCGCCCTATACAAACTGATCTAGGTCAACTACCATGTCAGCATGGACTGATTCACAC